CAATATACAATATACAAGATGGGAAAATGGAATAAAATAAAGCAAAATAAAATAAGAGAGAACAAAACAAAATGAAGTAGTGCAGAATTCTAAAAACTTAATAGAATACAAGAGAATGAAATAATTAAATTAAATACAGTTCTAAAAATTCAATTTAAAAAATAAAATAAAATAAAATAAAATAAAATAAAATAATAAAATAATAATATAGTAAAAGAATAACATAGTAAAAGAATAAAAGAATAAAATAAAGAAGGAAAAACATCAATATCAACATCACAATATATAAATATCTAATCTAAAAGAAAATATAATATATAAAATATAAAATTCATCATAATTACATTGAATACATGATATACTATATATCTACATTATATATTAGATAGTTCTATTTTATATTCTATTAGTTATTATATATAGTTACATTTATATTAATAATAACTGTTACTGTAGTCATAAATTAACCAAAAATATGCAAATGATGGAATATTTAATATATAACAGAAAATAAAAACAATAAAAATATAAAGACGTCATTAAGGCTAATATAGAAAAGATAAAGACATAATTAAATATAATATAAAATCATAACTATATATATATTTATTATAGTTTGCACGGGTGTAATTTTTAATGTTTATATACAATGAAGTGGTGTGTATGTATATAATTTTGATATATATTTAATTCCCCGTTTTTTAACTGTTAATTATTATTAGAAGTATTATTAGTAATTATTTAAATATTATTAATTTGTATTAATTATTAATTTTGCACTTTTTCTATGTAATTTATAGAAATTATAATAATAATTACATATCTACTTTTCCATTATTTATTACTTTACACGATTTCTATATATTTTTAATATATATTTAATTTCCCATTATTTAACGTTTTACACCATTTCTTTATAATTTTATAATATGTATCTAATTTCCCATTATTTAATCTTTTACACCACTTCTCTATAATTTTTAATACATATTTAATTTCTCATTATTTAATGTTTTACATTATTTCGCTGCTCCCCCCAGACCCTTTCCCATCCATTTGGGATCTCTGTGCCGTGATTCCTTTTTTCCCCAATATTCCTTTTTTTTTTTTTTGGGAACGTTCTCCTGGAGAAGGGAAAAAATTCCAGGGAATCTTTGGATTCCTGGAATGGCTCCCACTGGAAAAGGGAAGGAATCCACTGAGATTTTGGGAAGGAATTCCCAGATTTTTTTATCCCTGGGAATGTCCAAGGTCGGGTTGGGTGGATTTGGATCCACCTGGGATTGGTGAAGTTGTTCCCACCTTTGGAATTATTGGGATTTTAAAAAATCTCATCCCAAACAATCCTGGAATTTTCCCATTCCCTCCCAGCTGGATGTCCTGGCTGTTCCCAGAGGAAAAAAAAAATAAATAAATAAATTTTAAAAAACCTGGGAATTAATTTTCCTTGGAAAATTAATTGATCTTACTCTGCTTCTTCCTGCCGTGGATAAACACGATATTCCAGAGTGTCCACTGGGAATATTCCACTGGGAAAATTTAATCTGGGAGAAACTGGGAATGGCATCACCCCCATGATGCCCGGGGATGTGGGTGAGGAAGGAATTCGCTTTTTTTAGGGAAGGAAAACCCCGTCAAAGGCGATTTGGGAAAAGTTCCCGGTGGGATTTCTGGAAGAATCCGGAGCGGGAGGAGCAGGAACTGAAAGGGGGGAGATGGAACAGGACGGGGCCGGAGGGGAATTTCTCATGGATCTGTCACGGATCCAGCGGCAGGAAATTGAGGCTGATGGAGGCTGAAAAGGACAGGGAGCCGCTAATTGGGGACAGGTTGGGGACAAACCGCGGCTGGGCGGGGCCACCCCAGGGGACTCAGGGGATTTTTTTTGGGGGGCGGGGATCTGAGGCATGGAGAATGGAATCCGGGATGGGGAAACTTCCTGGGAAAGGCTCCTCTTCCCCTAAGGATCGCGGTGCTGCCATTCCGCAGCGGAATTCCACCTCGGGATCATCCGGTCCGGGTGGGAAGGGACCTTAAATCCCATCCCATCCCAGCCCTGACAATTCCCACAATCCCAGGTGGCTCCAAGCTCCATCCAGCCCGGCCTTGGACACTTCCAGGGATCCAGGTTTTTCTGGGAAATCTTGGAGGGGCCAGCAGGGATCATCCGGAATCCCGTCAGAGTTAACAGGACACGGGGAATGGATTCCCACGGGGAAAGGGGAGATTGGGATGGGATTTTGGGATGGAATTCCTGGCTGGGAGGGTGGGGAGGGGCTGGGCTGGAATTCCCAGATTTGCTGTGGCTGCCCCTGGATCCCTGGCGGTGTCCAAGGCCAGCTTGGATCCACCTGGGATCATGGGAGTGTCCCGGAGCTGTGGGATTTGGGATTTTGGAGCATCGCCAGTTTTGGGGCTCAGAGATGGGTCTGGAGATGCCAAACTTGATGATCGCCATCCTCAAGGATTAAATCCCATGGAGGGATTTTCCTGAATTCCTGCTCCTCCTGAATTGCTGGATGGGGAATATTTGGAGAGGAGAGTGCTGGGAATGTCCATCCTGTACGGATTCACACCGGATCTTCGTTAAGGTGTCGCTAATTAATTGGGTTTGGGGGCTGCCTGGGTCCTCTTTGGCCCCACCACTGTGGGTTTGGGATCTGCAATTCCCAGGATTTGGGATCTGCAATTCCCAGGATTTGGGATCTGCAATTCCCAGGATTCGGCTGCTCCAGGAGATGGGACAATTCTGTGTCACGCCACCGTGTCTGGGGACATGGGACTGTGCCCAAAACCATCCCAGTGGGGTCAGTGGGATGGTGACAGAGCCCTGTGGTCAGTGACATGGGGACACCAGCTCTGGAACCCAACTTTGCTCCCCAAACCAGCCCAGTGGTCAGCACGGAGTGACCAGTGGGGGTCGGTGGCACAGGGACATCAGCCCTGGGGTGAGTGACATGGGGACATGAGTGACATGGGGACAGTGGCATGGGGACATGAGTCTTGGGGTCAGTGGGATGGTGACACGAGCTCTGGAGTCAGTGGCACAGGGACATCAGCCCTGGGGTGAGTGACATGGGGACATGAGTGGCATGGGGACACCGGCATGGGGACACCAGCCCTGGGGACAAGCATTGTACCCAAAACCATCCCAGTGGTCATGGCGGAGTGACCAGTGGGGTCACTGGGATGGGGCCACCAGCCCTGGGCTCAGTGGGACAGGGACACGAGCCCTGGGGACCCGGCTGTGCCTGGTGGCAGTGAGTCCCTCGCTTTCCCCGTGCGGGTGTCCCCGATGTCCCCGAGGGGAGTCGCGGGCTGGCGGTGGCGGGAGGCGATGTCCCCGCCGTGTCGGTGTCCCCCGGTGTCCCCCGGTGTCCCCCGGTGTCCCCCGGTGCCCGCAGCTGTGGCTCCTTTGTGCGGTGTCACCTCGGGCGGTGTCACCGCGGGCCTGGCCTGTCCCCAAAGAGTTGCCGGTGACTCCGGGACCCGCTGCCCCGGGGTCCCCGCCGCGCTCTAACCCGAGTGTCTTCCCACCCGTGTCCTTCCCTCACCTCCGTGTCCGTCTGTCCGTCCCTCCCGCCTCTCTCTGTCTCTCTCTCTGCCTCTCCTGCCCCTCTGCTCTGCCAGGGAGGGAGGGAAGGAGGGCGGGAAGCCCAGGGGGAGTTTAGGGGGGTCGGGACCCGCGGGATGGGGGCCCCGGGGTGGGCAGGGGTAATTTTGGGGTGCGGGGATCCCGCGGGGCTCAGCCTGGATTCCGTGGATGCGGTGCGGGTGTCCCCAGATGGGTCTGTACCCAGAAAGCCAAGGCCACCAGAAGCCACCGTGTCCCCACCAGTGTCACCCTGTCGGCCCGGCAAGGGAAGGGTTTGCAGTCGGGGACACGAATTTGGGGTTGAGGAGGATCCAGCCTGTCCCACAGCTCAGCATTCCCGGGAAAAGCAGCACAGGGAGAGCCGAGCACGGCGCGGGGGGGCTCAGCTACGAGCTCTGGGCTCCTTCCTGAGGCTCCCGTCCCCAAAGTCCCATCCCTGGGGTCCCATCCCTGGGG